AGTCTCTTCCTCATCAGTGAGACTTTCCAGCATTCATTGCCATATAGGAGGATGGATATTATGTCTCAGTTTAGTACTATCTTTCTGTTGCTTCAAGTCTCTTCCTCATCAGTGAGACTTTCCAGCATTCATTGCCATATAGGAGGATGGATATTATGTCTCAGTTTAGTCTTTTCTGTTGCTTCAAGTCTTTCCTCATCAGTGAGACTTTCCAGCATTCATTGCCATATAGGAGGATGGATATTATGTCTCAGTTTAGTACTCTCTTTCTGTTGCTTCTTTCCTCATCAGTGAGACTTTCCAGCATTCATTGCCATATAGGAGGATGGATATTATGTCTCAGTTTCAGTACTATCTTTCTGTTGCTTCAAGTCTCTTCCTCATCAGTGAGACTTTTCCAGCATTCATTGCCATATAGGGAGGATGGATATTATGTCTCAGTTTAGTACTCTCTTTCTCTTTGCTTCAAGTCTCTTCCTCATCAGTGAGACTTTCCAGCATTCATTGCCATATAGGAGGATGGATATTATGTCTCAGTTTAGTACTCTCTTTCTGTTGCTTCAAGTCTCTTCCTCATCAGTGAGACTTTCCAGCATTCATTGCCATATAGGAGGATGGATATTATGTCTCAGTTTCAGTACTATCTTTCTGTTGCTTCAAGTCTCTTCCTCATCAGTGAGACTTTCCAGCATTCATTGCCATATAGGAGGATGGATATTATGTCTCAGTTTAGTACTCTCTTTCTGTTGCTTCAAGTCTCTTCCTCATCAGTGAGACTTTCCCAGCATTCATTGCCATATAGGAAGATGGATATTATGTCTCAGTTTAGTACTCTCTTTCTGTTGCTTCAAGTCTCTTCCTCATCAGTGAGACTTTCCAGCAGGAGGATGGATATTATGTCTCAGTTTCAGTACTATCTTTCTGTATCTTCCTCATCAGTGGCATTCATTGCCAGGATGGATATTGTCTCAGTTTAGGATGATATTGTCTCAGTTTTCCTCATCAGACTCTATTTTTTTTTTTTGTTTGTTTCTAACGAAATTTTTCTTATTTCATATAATTTCTACACTTACCTCAATAAATCTCTTCAAGGAACAAAACGTGATGGCATAAAATGTTTTCCGCTTGTCATTTCCTTAATTTATCTCTCGATTTATCGACCTATCTATCTGTGTACGTGTGCGTGTGTGTCTGCGTTTGTGTGTGGCTCTCGGATTTTTGGTAAACACACCTTTTGTCAATGGCGCTTCTTGAAAATTAATTACAAAAAATGTTTCTTTTCGTTCCAGAAAAATCATTTATGTTTTTTTTTTATTCATTAATTCAGTTATTTTGTTTATTTAGAAATTTAATTTTATTTATTTATCAATTGAGAAATTTAATTGTATTTATTTATCTATTGAAATAGAAAGAAATTTAAGAAATTTAATTGTATTTATTTATCTATTGAGCATTTATAGTCCTGGGTCTGACGATAAACTACATCCGACAGCAAACCCTCTGATCGGTTAACTGGAGGTGTTTTGAGGTGTGTGGAACCACCTCTTAAGGGCTCTCGTTCCCAGGTCCTCCCTGACCCCGGTGGTAGTGTCCTGGCTATGGGCAAATAGAGAACTCTCCATTGAAGGTGTGAAAGTGCATTTTTGTAGTAGAAATACCAGTGATACATTTTATACCAACAATACGCACATACTAAAAATAGTAGCGACTTCACCCAAATCTTTTTAAAATACTACCAAACAACCAATATAAAAGAACATTCATGACATTAGTCCATATAATATCCTACAATTTCTTAAATCAAACTGTATTCCAAAATATATCTTCAACAGAACTACAATATAAAACATAGACATCGCTGCCTCTAGTTATTATATCCACAAAAACATGCGTATGTACAAAAGTTAAGTATCATCTACCATGTATTCAATTGTGAAAACAAAATAACATCATATTTTTATTACGTCAAAACTCACAAGAAAATTAAATTTTGGCATCAAATGACCCATAAAGTGTTGATGTGCCGTTAAACAAAGAACTCAATCATTTACCATTTAAATATTTTCTTTTTAAAGCAACGAAATTTCTAAAAAAAAATGTGAATGTTTATTGAAAAATGATCGGGCCGCCCCATTTCCCAAAATATCACAAGACCAAACATCAGATTTTTCTTCTTATTTTAAGATTTTCTTGGTCATACAGAGAAATTTTCAGCATCCCCTCGTAATTTTATTTCCGTCCTATTGTGGAAGAATCCTCTTATAATATAGAACAAATATAAAAAATGTAACGTCGAAAAAAATGGCGGAAATATTTAAGTAATTTCGCAATTGCATTATACTTTTAAAAAAGATCTAAAAACTTAGCTTTTTCTGCGTTTTCTATCTCTTCAATATTTCCTGAATAGAAAAAGAAAATTTAAATTAAAGATAACGATCGTCTGCCTTGTTTGATTTTGTGCTTTTATCAATTAATATCGTAAATTCCAAATGAAATCAGTTAAAGCCGACAAGATATTTCTTTGAAACTTCTAGACTTTGTTCCTAACAATTGTAGTTCTTCAATGATTATGCCTTTTTATGAGACAGAAATAATTTCGCCTATCAAATAGAATGTAAGAAATTCTCTCGTCCAGGTTTTTAATATTAAAAATACGAACGTTCAGATTTCAGACAATAATAAAAATAAAAATAAAGAAAACATTGGTATACATGTTAAATAGATCATTTGTAGTTGCAAACATATGTATTTGAATTCAAAAACGTCAAAAATGATAAAAATAGTCTTTATTTGAGTTAAAGTCTTTGTGTAGTTAGTACACAAAAAAAAACCGAGTTGAGAAAAAGACTTTTGAAAAGTTGGTCCACAGTCAACGCTGTAGTTCAGAAAAGATTTTAGTATATTTGGTCAACAATAAAAAAAAATGTGCTTGAGAAAATACTTTGATCGTCTGCGAAGATTCACCGACTGCCCAAGCTGTTGTTGCATCTATTTCGTTTGAAGTCGCCGATACATGTTTCTTTCAGTACGCAATGGTGAGGAGGGAGAGAGATAAAGCTATGGAGCCACATCTCTACGGCTTGGAGTCATCGCATTTCTACTATCTGAAAGTCGAAATGTGTGGGGTTTTATAAGAATTTTTTCACGAAAGTAGGCGCGAAAAGAATACGGTTTTTGTTTTCTCTGATTGGTCAAATATTTCACATGGTGATATTAATTTTTAGCCAATAAACATTTTGAATTAAACGGTGTGTGTTTATTGTGTAATTTTTTTTTTTTTTTGCATGTTTGTAAATATTGTCTGTTACTGGATAGAAAATAAATTTGGGGTGGGTTTTAATATGGTATGTATGAGGGTATGTAATTGTGTTGGAAATGGGGTTTATTTCCTGTATGTGTCGCGAGAGCTAATTTCCATTTCTGTTTGCTAACAACTCCTGGGTAACAAGAAAAGGTATAAGTCGGAATGTACAGACATTTGAAGTCATTTTTATAATTTCTTCTGTAGTTAAACTGGATATATATTATAGTGAACGTATTACTTTAAATTTCTATTCATAAAAAGCATGATAATATATAGTTGACAGCAAATAAAAGCGGAATCAAATATGACGAGTTATTTTGTCAAAATAATTACGATTTCCTCTTCATGCAAGTAAAATCTTCCGGTTTGTAAAGATATTCTAAGATCGTTTTTCAGTAGATTCCCGTTTGGGAATTACCTTTGTCTCCTACTCAATTCAGAGTGACTTTCTGTTTCGTGGGGAACAAACGCTTCAAAGGGAAAAGCAGCTCTGCAGTTTTGAATAACGGATTTATTGATCTTTTCAGTGACGACAGTTCTCTCCCTTTCCTCTCTTGAATTGTTTTCTTCACAATCTACCTCCGCTTATTCACGGTTCTAAAACGACTTCTGTATCCACGCTGTTATTCACAACGTCATTACCAACGAATTGGAGAAGTCAAACTCAAACATGTATAGAAATTTAACTCTTTGGTAAATTTAACAGACGACGGGAAATTGTGACCCCGAAATCCGAAGGTACGTTGGATTAGCGAAAGATGACTTCCAGCGGCTAAACAAATTCTTCTTCGCGTCCCTTAAGGCCATGGGCGATCACGGCTCTCCACAAGATTCTAACTCGTGTGACTCTTAGCAATTTTTCCCCTTCGGTAAGACCACCACCCCCCGTTCCGATATGTATTCACATAAACTCGTTAAGTAATTGGCTTTCCCTATCTGTCTTACCCTCAATATGCCCTGTGAGTGTTATGTTTTTCAAGCCCTCTTTCCTCATTATGTGTTTAAGAAATTCCAGCTGTCTTTTCCTGATTTTGAGCATAAGTGTTCTTTCTGTTGCCATTTTCTTTAAGACTTCCTTGTTGCTTATTCATTCCATCCATGGAATTCTCAGTATCCTTCTGTAGAACCACATTTCTGCTGCCTCTAATTTTTTCCTCATCTTGTTCAACATTCACTACCATATAAGAGGATGGACACCACATAGGAAACTAGCACTCTTTTCTTTGTTTCTAACGATTTTTTTTCCGTTTCTCAGCTTAGCTTTTGGAAGGCATCATCGCTAGTCCAATACGTACTTCGGATTTCAGTGCCACGTTTTCTATCTTCTGTTAAAACGCTTCCCAGATATTTGAACTTCTAAAGTATTAAGAGATAAGAAAATTTCGTTAGGAATAAAGAAAAAACTGATGAACTGCTATTTAATATCAATCCTTCTATATGGCGGAGGATGCTGGACAATCTCCTCATAGACGAGGAAGAGAATTGAGGCATCAGATATATGGTTCTACAGAAGGATGCTGAGAATATCCTGGATGGAACATGTGAGCAACGAGGAAGTTTTAGAGAAAATGGGAACGAAAAGAATTCTTATACTTAGAATCAAAAACAGTATGAATTTTGTGGGACACAAAGGAAAGAGGGATTATAGAATTTGACACTCACAGGACATTTTGAATACAAGGCAGACGGGGTGGCTGACGGCCGCATCACGTTGAAACACCGGCTCACATCCGATCACGGAAATTAAGCAACATTGAGACTGGTCAGTACCTAGATGGGTGACCGCTTGGGAAAACCAGGTGCTGTAAACTTGGATGTGCAGGTGGTGCAATGGATAGCGGTTAGGAATTGAAAATCGGGGAACCAAGTTCCAGTTCCAGTCGTGTTCGTTATATTAATTTACGCGCAAATACTCTTAGGAAAGGTATGAATCCATTTATTTTTATCAGTTATGGGTTAATTAGTAAGACTTGTGTCAGCAAATAATTATTATCTCCCAAAACTTCTTACAATCTAAAAATATTTGCTGTCTTTAAATAAACTGCAAAGGGTTGATAAATCAAAACTACTTACACTATTGTCCTCCTCATCTGTACAGTTACTTTTGGATCAACCAACGCTTTTATGCACTGGGTCATGTGTTGGAGATTTTAATGAAACTTTCAGGACTTATTCAAAGTGAATAAAAATATTTTAGAATTTTTTTTTTTTTTTTTTTAAAAACTTGGTAAAAACATTTTTTTATATGTGTTACACCCTACTTACTTAATTTTATTATGAAAACTCGAGGAATTCAACGAGATAATTTTTAATGACTATATTAGTTAAAAGCAGAACTCCTTGGAGAATTTAAATCATCAGTTTATTTTGCAGAATTGGATCCCATCTTACCGAAAATCTGCTCTGAATCGTAAGATAAAAACGCAATAAAACTAAGACATTATTTAATTAAAAATTTAATTGCTGCTATGAATAAGGGGCACTATTGTCGTAAGACAACTTTTTTTTTGGATAAATAATGAATTTTACACTATTTGTTTTCAATTTTTTAAATAAAATATTTTTTTTAATTAGAATAATTTATAAAGTCTTTAAATCTTTTAAAATTCAGTTTCAATGTCCGTGATTTTTTTTGTTTTCTGGCCGTCTTCATTGGTGTATCACATCGGGTCCTTAAAAATCAACTTTACGTACACAAATTTTGTTATAAAAATGTAAATAAATTAGTTTTTATTGTTTCTGTGTGAAGTTCTGGTCTGAGGAGTTATTGAAATTAATTATATTCGGACTATTGTCCACAAATATTACGAATGTAAATAGTGTAAATAATGATAACTTCTCATCCCAGAAACAATCAAAACTAATTTATTTATATTTTTATGCCAAAATTTGTGTATGTTAAGTTTTATGGCTGCATCTTTTCGTATCAAACATACTGATCCCATGAACATTAAAAAAAATCTATAAACTTTGAATAATATTGGGATTTTAAATTAGTTTAACATCGTTTACAAATAAATGAAATTTCCATATTTTATTGCGAAATGTCACGGGATTTAATTAAAAATGGTGTAAAATTATTGCTTTTTCATGATTTTTCGAAAAATATATCGCAAAAATTGGAAAACGCTCAGCAATAATTACAGTAGGAGAGAATTCATGTGCTGAGAAAAGTTAAATCTTTCGTAGGTTATCAGTTATAGTGAAGTGTATGAGTATTGAAACAGATTTGTTTGATTTGGCCTTGTTAGATAGCCCACCATAAGAGGGCTATAAAACAAGAAAATCAAATTGTAGTGAAACAACAAATGTATATACATATAAATCAATTTAGGTTTTTACAAATAAAATTAATGTATTTTGGTTGTTACAAGGTAGTCAAAATGTTCGTAGTAGTTCTAGCAAGAACGAGTTTATGTGTACGTAGGCAGGAACGTATGTGTGGATATATGTATGTGTGTATGAGCGTTATCGTAGGGTAGGAATGTCTTTGAAGTAATCGCTCAGTCTTAAAATATTCCGTTCGTTTATCAAGTATAAAAGAGGTGAGAGAGAAAGGTAGAGATAATAATAACGATCGCTTGGCGTTTGTCAAGGGACGTTTTAATACGCTCGTCTCCTTCTCTCTGGTGACAGTCGAACTTGCTCGTCTTTTATTTTGTTTGTGGGGCTTGAAAAGGTCATTTGGGAATTCCCTCCCGGATATGAATCGGACCTTTCCATTGAACGACGAAAAATTCGCGTCGGCTCGCGAAAAGGTACGTAAAATAATTTGCTTCTGAGAATTGAAGATTATTTGAATTTTGTTTTTAAATATTTCCTAGTTTTCTGTTGGCTGAAAAACATTTCGCATCAAGGTGTGAAATTTCACGAGTTTTGTTTTGGATTCGCTTTTGCGTGTGTGTTAAGCAAAGTTTGTAAATTTGAGTCTTTTTAATTTCTGACAAAATCAATGAGACAGTGCTTAGCATTTGAATTTTAAATCTAGATCTTGTTTTGTTCACTACAAATCCTTTTAATTAAGTAGCTTCACAGATTCGCGGTACCTAAGGATTAAAATGAATTTTTCAAAATGAAAAATCTTTCTTGAAGTTTTTGTTTTAGTTTTAATTTCAAGATAATAGATGAAATTTAATATTTCCAATAAGCAAAATACTTCGCTGTATTTCAAAACTAATTTGAATTGATTGGAAGGAATTTTCGTTTTGGAATTGCTGATTTCTTTCTATTTTCGCGCCATTTTAGCCACCTGTCATCAGAATGTAATTCTCTTTATTACAAAACCTTCCAAAAATAAAATATATTTTTCTGAAACTTTATTTAAAGAATATTAGCTGATTTAAAATTTAATTAATCTAATTTGAAACAAATATCATTTACTTTAAGTTTAAAATGTCGCAGAAATGCATTTTAACACATCGGTAGCTGTATATGTTTACAGATTCATGACAGATTGATATTTATCTAATGTTGTTCTATCTGTAAAAAATATTGAATATAACGTGATCGCCTTTTATATATAATTTTTAAGTACTCAGTAATCTAAAAAAATTAGGAAAATATTCTCCCTAATCGAATATTTTAATGAATTTTAGATATTTTGGCTTTAAACTTACTATAGTTATCGCTTTTATTTTCTAATAATGTCGTGTATGGGCCACCGTATCTACAAAAGTCGGTACATTTATACACATACCAAAACAATTCAAAATTCTTTATAAAATACACGAGGTCCACAAATTGTAATAAGCTTCACGACTTATAATTAGTAAATATGGTTTTACTTAATAAAAATAATCCCTAACATTTACTGCATTGAAACTGAATTTTAAAAGATTTTAAGAATTTTATAAATTATTCTAATTTAAAAAAATTACTCTATTTAAAAAATTGAAAACAAATATTGTAAAAATTCATTATTTATCGAAGAAAATGTTTTAAGACAATAGTGCCCTTAATATATCTTATTCAGAACAGCAATTAAATTTTTAATTAAATAATGTCTTAGTTTTATTGCGTTTTTTATCTTACGATTCAGAGCAGATTTTCGGTAAGACGGGGTCCGATTCTGCAAAATAAACTGATGATTTAAATTCTCCAAGGAGTTCTGTTTTTAGGAATATAGTCATTAAAAATTATCTCGTTGAATTTCTCGAATTTTCATAAAATTAAGTAAGTAATGTAAATTTAAAAAAATGTCTTTACCAAGCTTTTCTAAAAAAAAGAATTTCTAAAATATTTTAATTCATTTGTGAATAAGTTCTGAAAGTTTCATTAAAATCTACAACACACGGCCAAGTTGATAAAAGCTTTTGTTAATTGATCCAAAAGTGACTTAAGTCAGATTTATGAATTTAATACCTTGCCACAGCAAACGGGCCAAAAACTTGGAAAGTTGAGTTATCAAGGGAAATTAACTGAAATTGAGATATTAAAACGCATGGCACGTGGAATTAGAACAGCCTATCCGCGTGGCTCGCTTCAAAATTCCAGGAAATATAACCTGAAGAAGGCTGGAACGTTTAATGGCCGAATCGTCATGAATATGACAATAAAGATGTGAACAACAATGTATACTTGCAATACCTCATCTCAAAAATATAGACAAATTATTTGATTATTGCAAGAATTTCCAAAATAATGTCTTTCACGGCAAAAAAAAAGACGCAAAAATTTGCTATGCTAATTCATAGTCGATCCGCTGACGTAAGAAAAACAAGGTTTTTAACCAAAATTTCGAACGTTCTAAAAAGGGTTAAAAGATATAATTAGAAAATGAAAAAATACTTTCCTCTTAATAACAAAGATTTTTACAATAAAACTTAATTTTTATCAAATTTAGGGCATTTTTTCCTCATAGTATGCTCTTTTTTAGATAAATTAGTAGTATATGTGTTGAAACTTGACTAATGCATTGAATAATAATGCAACACAAAATGTACTTAGAACAAAATGTATTGAAACAAGAAAGTGTACACAATATTTACATATAGTATTTTGTATATTCCTGGTAAGACCGTTCCTGGAGAATGTGTTGACTGAGTCGCAGTCGGGCAGAGTCTCTGGTTGAATCTCTTGATTCCTGTATTTATCTATCCACCCACGAGGATAAAATGTGGCACAAGGCCGGTTTAAGTGGGTATCTCCGAGCCTGTAGGCTCGGCTAAAAAATATGGCCTTTCTGAACCCGCCTAGACGGGTTCAAGGCCTGTCTACCACCCCGGACGAAACCCCGCCTCTCGGCAAAGCCTCGTCCGGGTCCCTCATTGCAAAATGCAGAGTTCGTCTGAGAGTGAATCTTTGATTCCTCCTCTCTTCCCGGTACCAACCATATTTATATGGTCGGTACTCCACTATGCAAATTAGGTGGATCCTACCACAACAATATGCAATGGAAATACGAGCTCGAAAAAAATATTAACGTATACTCGGTGAAGGCATACACCACATATACGAAAGTTCGTACATTTTTAACAGGATGTTGCAAGCTGTAACATTTAAAAATCGACCATAAATTATCTAAAAGAAAAGCGAATAATACATTTTGAAAATTGGCCAAGCCAGTCTCCTGACTTGAATATTATAGAAACTACTAAAACATACGAAAGAAGAATTTTAAGATAATTTCGGAGACAGTTGATTAACATTTCTTTATAATTTTAGTCAATATTAGGAATGAGAGAGTTACGTCACATATTTACTCCGAGAAACAACACTTGTTGTTCAAGCCGAGTACTAGCCAGGATTTTAAATGACGAGTTTTTTTTTAAAATTAGTGTAGCGTACCGGTTATCGGTGTAGAGAATGT